ATATTCCATTATGCATTTAGCTTTATTGAAATAACAATTCAATTGATAGGTGTAATAGTTTCCGCTGTCTGTTATGCGTTACAAAAGAAAGTTAAATGATTGCATGCTTTATTGTGTCAGATCCATTTATAGTTTCATTAATATGGCTTAAATTGCTTAAATTTAATGCTTTCAGTATATTTTATTCTGCAAACAGTGTTTTCCCAATGGCGTCTTCCATTAGGATAACATTTATGTAGTGGTTTATTTTAATAATACTTCTACGGTAAAATAAGTTACCCATAAAGCAGAATATTTTAGTAATGAGATATTTGTTTCTGTATACAGTTTTGAATATTTTATTAATCCAAACAATATATTAGTGTGCTTAATTTGAAATATACATTTTTTTCGCCCAATTGACGAAATACTGTTCTAGACATTGGAAAAAAATTCTCACCAAATTTGAGCTCTTAATTTTAATTTTACGTACTCACTATTTGATTGTAAAATTTCTCTATTCATTTAACACGTAAACTTTTTTTTTAAATTATCTATATCTCAGCTGAATTTCACATTATTTTATTGTCCATAGGTGATAATTATAGGGCAACCTTTGTTCTTTGAAAGTGGCCATAGTAGGATCTATGTGACTTGAACGGTTTCACTGTTAAATATATTAAAGTTAATTTTTATCGATTTTTGCAATTTCCTCATAAATTAATAGTTAGTACAGGAAAAACGTAACTAACATTTTTATAGGAAATTAAATTTGCCATAAAAAGGTCCTGAATATCTAAACTGTAGCGTTATTATTTAACGAGATAAATGGAATTAAATATATGAAAACTTAAATGTATATTTTCAAATTTATCGTATTGGAAATTTGATTGTAAATTGTTAAATAACTGTTGGTTGTACGGGGTGGTTGATTTTCGATAGTTTTATGGGGTACAACCAAAACGGTGATAGATACAAAAAATCTGATATCGATATCCCGTGCTCTTTTTTGAGTTTACTTCGCTGGTACCAAACGGTCTTGGCTAAGTTGATTAGTTTTAGATATACAGGGTTTTTTTGAAAAATGGCCCATTTACATTAACCTCTTTTTCTCCGTTGTCATTCAATTTAGAAGAAAAAAGTGTGCACATTATTTGTTCTATTTTTTATTAGGAAGCCAGTGGCGTACTCAGATTTTTTACAGATCACACAGTTTTCCCGATATTACATAACCATAGGTTTTTTTAAATAGAACACCCTGTATTTGGCCATCCCGTTTAATAGCATTTTTTTACCTTTTCAGCCATATATAATAATAGATACTTTTTATTTGCCTAAATGAAGAAACATGCAAAAATGTATAGACATTTTTTCAGTTGGCCATGTTATTTATTTATTCGTCTTTTATTGTTTAATATTGACAGTTAGTTTATTTTTGACTGATTGAAAGCTTGTTAAAGTATATTACTTGGTTTTAATTAATTAATTAATTAATTAAATCTTCACAAAGTTCAAATGTTGGAGTGTTACATTGAAAGTGAAAAAATAGTGACACAGTTTTAAACTTATATTTGGAGAGATACCCAAAGCGTCATCAGCCAGAAAAGAGAATTTTTAGCCGACTCTATAATAACTTGTGTGAGTTTGGTTCTTTTCAAAAATCGAGAGCTAAATCTTATAATATACAGAATAGAGAAAATGATGAAATCAATATTTTAGCTTTTGTTGCCACAAATCCCAATGTATTCAGCAGAGAAATTCAAAGGACGATAGGAATTGGTAAATTCAAAGCATTGAGAATTTAAAAAAACACAAGTTTCGACCATATACTATAAGAAAAGTCCACCATTTGCATCCAGGAGATGAAGAGAGACGCATCTGCCAATGGTTTTTGCAGCAAAATTATGTAGACCCCCATTTTTTTCAAAATGTTATTTGGACCGACGTGGCTTTTATAAGTAGCGAAGGTATATTCAACCGGCATAATGCGCATTATTGGTCAGATGTGAATCCTCACCAAACTGTGGCCAGAATTCAACAAGGACGGTTTGGTTTTCATGTATGGGTAGCTCTCATCCACAATAAAGTGTTAGAATGTACGATAAAAACCTTAACGCTCAGAGATATGTGAAAATTTTACAAGAAAATATTATTGAACCGCTGGACGATATGCCACTAGCTCAACGATATCACATGTTCTTTCAGCATGATGGTGCGCCTCCACATAATTCCCACATAGTTAGAGAATTATTAAATCATAACTTCGGGGACAATTGGATCGGTACGTACGGACCAAACAGGTGGCCGCCTAGATCACCAGACCTAACCCCTATAGACAAAATTTATAAGTATAGAGCTAATAATGTCGAGAAGCTAAGGGCACATTTTGAAACCTCTATTCAGCGGGTGTCAAATATCCACATTTACAATGCGACCCGCTCCATTGCCTAACGTTGTCAGTTATGTATCAACGAAAATGGCCGACAATTCGAGCCCTTGTTGTGACTTTGTTATGTCATTTTTGTTTTATTGTTGTTTCTCTCATTTTATAGTTGTTATTTTTGTTTCGTTTATGTTTAATAGTTATAATTACCTATAATTAAATCTTAAGTAAAGATAAATGGATAATCTAATTTATTTTTTCTTGTAATTTTTTAGTCTAATTTAGGTGCTTAATATAAAAATAGTAATAGAAAACGAAGAGACCTATACTAAATAAATCTCATGGGCAACTGAAAAAATATCTATACATTTTTTACATTTTTCTTCATTTAGGCAAATAAAAAGTATGTATTGGCTTAAAAGGTAAAAAAAATGCTATTCAACGGGATGGCCAAATACATGATGATCTATTTAAAAAAAACCTATGTTTATGTAATATCGGAAAAACTGTGCGATCTGTAAAAAATTTGAGTACGCCACTGGCTTCCTAATGAAAAATAGAACAAATAATGTGTACACTTTGGTCTTCTAAATTGAATGACAACGGAGATAGAGAGGTTAATGTAAATGGGCCATTTTTTAAAAAAACCCTGTATATCTGAAACTAATCAAGTTAGCCAGGATCTTTTGGGACCAGCGAAGTAAACTCAAAAAAAGAGGACGGGACATCGATATCAAATTTTTTGTATCTATCACCGTTTTGGCTGTACCTTATAAAACTATCGAAAATCAACCACCCTGTACATTATATTATTTTATAATGGCTGACAAAATAGTTTTTAACATATTAACGTTGCAAAATAAAATGTAAAATTAGCTGCAACATCACTTTAGAGAAATACTACAAGCGATTCAATATCAAAATGTATTATTTGTAGCTAGGCCATCGTGGCTAATAACATATTTTTGTTATTCTTTTCTGTTATTTTTGTTTTTAGAAAAAAATATTACGAAATACAGAAGTTACAAATTACAGACCAATATCGCTGCTGAGTAAAAAATATTGAAAAAGGGAATAACTGAATGTTTGTCTAAATACAATATCTTATCAAAGCAACAAAATGGCTTCCAAGAAGCTAAATCAGCGGAGGATGCAATGGCTGATTTAACTGCTGAAATCTATAAATCTTTAGATAAAAATAAAATGACGCTTTGTATTTTTGTTGACTTGGCTAAAGCATTCGACCTTGTTTCTCATGCATAATTATTAAAAACACTTTAAAATGTTTAGGTGTGTAGCAGATAAAGAGCAAAGCGTTAAAATTAGTGAGCAGGTATGTTCCAAGAGAGTGGTGAAATACGGGGTGCCTCAGGGTACTTGTCGGGGAGCGATACTTTTTAACATATGCTTTAATGACTTGTTTAACCAATATTCGCTAAGCAAAATTATTAGTTTTGCTGAGGATACGGCAGTATACTACATAGCGGATAATTGGTTAGATTTGAGGAATATTGTTGAAAATATTTTTCTAAAATAATGCGTTTTTTTTTAAATTTAAACTACTAACAATTAATATTATGAAGACCTTTTTCTTACCGTTTGCCTGTTATAATGACACATATGTATGTAGACGACATATGGTTTGAACAAAACGGTGCCACATCCCACACAGACCGAGAAATAATTCAAATATTGCATGAGTCATTTCCTAGTCGTGTAATTTTCCCTCTTGGTAATCAGAATTGGCCACCGAAATCATGCCATTTTACGGCGTTGGACTTTTTTCTTTGGGGTTTTTTTGAGTCTAAGTTTTATGCTGACAAGCACACATCTACCCACATCTCGAAGGAGCGCTGTATCAACAAAATTCAGCCGCATTTATGCAAAACTGTCATGAAAATTTTCGACAAAAGTGTGCGTATTTGCCAGCAAAGCCGTGGAGGCCATTTAACCGATATGCTAGTCCATACATAACCCTATACTGTATACTTTATGAATCAATAAAAAATGTACAATGTTCAATTAAAAACAAATTGCGTGAATTTTGTAACACCCTTTATATGACTTCATTCTATGAGAATTTTAATAAATGTTTAAAATTAAATTTACTTAATACTTTTAAAGTAGGTAAAGTAACAATCTAACAACTGTATCGAGTACTGATTTGTTTGGCTTATTCAGTACGTTTCTATGAAATAATAGTTTACTCATTTCAGAGCATAGTATAATTGTAATAAACATGATCAGTCAAGTTCACAAATTCGCCCAAAGTGAATCTTTTCCTTTGTCATCCCTTAATGCGTTACAGAGATAATTTATAATCCTCAATCTCCTCGTCAAATATCCGTGTTATTAACAATGTAAGTGCTGCTTTAGGCTGTGGTACGAGAGTAAGCTCTTTACGATATAAAACCCCACCTAGGAAAGACTTAATCGAGCGTTGAGAGATAAGGGAAACTTCCTGTATAAACACACATCTTTGTATTTCCCAGTGCGAAACTGAAATAGTCAAACGTTAAATATAATCACTTTCACTTTCCAAGGTTGTGCACATTTTGGGAACATCAGTGGCGTGACGCCGAACATTTTTATGCGCAATTAGGCAATACTTGGTGACACGTTTCTGTTTTGTTTTCAGGGATATGCACAGGGATCACTGTCACGGTATACCGGGATTATGTGACGCCATGAAACCTACTAATGGCACCGAGCTTCTCAAGTATCTTCGAAAAGTTGACTTCCAAGGTAAGTGTTTCGTTATGTATGATGCTTGTTTAGAACACCAGAAAAAATTTTATGTGGTCAAGTCTATCCTTTTACATACCTATGTATGCATACAAGTAAATGAAAATAATTTTTAGCGGTATTTAGTTATTCAGTTAAGATCATTTGTCAATCGAACCCACCAGACATATCGGACTTAGTGGTTCTCGTCAGTATACATTAGGCGAGCCAACCGGCGAATGATGATTTAACTACAAATATGGATTAAGCATAGCATACACGAAACGTAGCAGTGAAGTATAGTTATAAATACTACATTTCTCATATATTTATTTCATTCAAAAATACATAATATACTTTTTCTATTATTAGCTCTCACATGTTTTTGCTTTTTTAAGGTTTTAAGCTAATTCAAACACAATCAAGAAAAAAATATATTTTTTAAATCTTATTAGATGAGGTCAAACAATGTTCTTCGATATCAGAATTCTAGGTAAGTAGGTCTTTTTGTTTCTACATTTTACTTGGAATTGTTTCATCAGGCAGCTTGGCATTCCTCCTCGTTACAAATATTAAAATTAGAATTGTACATAAATTAAAATTAAAGAAAAGAATATTGATTTCATTTAGTAAGACTTTTTAAATTACTTTCTTGAATTTTATTATTAATAGCATAATATCTTAAAATAGAATAAAAACATGTGAGAATTAATAATAGAATATACCTATGTATTTCTGAAGGAAACTTAGAAAAAGAGGGCAAATAAAAAAATTTTTAAATAGAGAAACAATTATACTTAATGTCATGTTAGTAAGCTATTGACAATGTTGTTTTTAAAAAATGTTATTCCTTAATTTTCAGCTTGTCAATTTACAGGGTATAACAGGGGCTGTAGAAATTTCTCTTAACAATAATATTTTTTTGCATTTTTTTCAAATTACTTTCAAAGACGAAAAATTTTTGTTTTTCTTGTAAAACCGTGATAGGTCCTTGTAGAGAATTGATTCAGTTTTTCAAAACCGCTCTTAAATTTTTACTGTGCAATAATTTATTGGTATCTCGATAATCAATAGTCATATGGAGACCTTTCAAAAAGCAAATTGAATTGAGTAAATAATCTAACTGACCTCTGCAGTGATTGAGTTCGAAAACATTTTCCTGAGTACGTAGACAGTCAATCCTAACAAAAAAAAAATGAAAATTTGCTTCTCCAGGTATTTCCTTCGATTGGTCGATAACCGTAGCTCAAAAAAATGTTGTCAATAGATCCTGAAACTAAAGACTTAAAACTTCAAAATGCTTTATTTGTGTTTCTAAATACGAGCATTTTTTACTGTGATACAGCATTTCTAGGATCGCTAAAAAATTTGTGAAGTTGTTTTGTTCCTTTAGTTTTTTTGCAGTTGTGTAGTATATTATATAACATCTCTATAAAACAATTTTTTTGGATACAGTGAAATATATACAGGCTGTTACAAATTCGCTTCTCACTACAGGGATCTCGGAAACGGTAAGAGCTACGAAGTAGCTTAAATGGGGGCAAAGTTGCGTAATCAGGAGACCAACATTATGCATCTAAAAAATCAAGGCTAGTTTTCGAAATATTTGAAAAAAAATCGAAATTTTAGAAATCCGTTTTTGTTTAATTTCAGCCTTGTTTGAAGAGATATTGAAAAACGAAGAACACTTTCTCATAGCCACTTTTTGCACTCTATCGAATGGCATAATTAATTTTTATATGCAACGTTTCGTATCTCCAAATTCGTTCCAAATTTATCTATATTTTTTATTTAGATTTCTTTGTTTATTGAATTATCGTACACTGTAAGTGTCGCTAGACCCTGTGGAATCCATCTAGTTATTTAAACTATTACCATCACGCACTACAATAGAACATTTATTATTATTAACTATTACCATCATTTGGTCATACATAACTCAATAAGTTGTTGCGTCAAAATTAAAATATTGTTACAATTTTAATTTTATTATGACAAATTATTTCTTAAAAATGCATATGAACAACCAAAACGCCAACTAAATATTATTCTTTAAAAAATTTCAGTAAATGTTCAAAAACATTTTCGTTTTGGCAAAGGTTAAAAATGAAGATCAGCATAATATTATCGGAATTTATTATATATGTAACTGCAACTGTGAAAGAGCATGTCAGATGTATTTATATGAATATTCTGAAAAAAATAGATTGGAATTTGTTTGAATTTTGAGCACTCGAGAAGCCTAGAAATAACTATGGACACGGGAATAAAACTCTAATAATGTTTTATTTTAATGCGTGGTGGTAATAGTTTGAATAACTAGATGGATTTTACAGGGTCTAACGACACTTACAGTGTACAATTCAATATACAAAGAAATCTAAATAAAAAATTTAGATAAATTTGGAACGAATACACTGAAGACGAATTTTTCGAGACAAAACGTCTGAATCTGGTTAGGGCTGAGGCAGTACAGTATTGGGGGTCATGAAGGCTTGCAAAAAATGTAATAAAATTTCCAGGGTCGTATTTAAAAAATTAAGTTGATGATGGTCCTGGAGAGACGAAACGTTACATTTAAAAATTGATTATGCCATTTGATAGAGGACAAAAAGTGGCCATGAGAAAGTGTTCTTCTTTTTTCATTATCTCCTCAAACAAGGCTGAAATTAAACAAAAACGGATTTCCAAAATTTCGGTTTCTTCATATATTTCGAAAACTAATCATGTTAGCCTTGATTTTTTAGAGGCATAACGTTGGTTCCCTGATTACGTAACTTTGCCCCCATTTAAGCTACTTCGTACCTCTTACCGTTTCGGGATCCCTGTAGTGAAAAGCGAATTTGTGACAGCCTGTATACAGAGTGAGTCATAATGGGACACAGCTAATGGCAGATTGTTAATGTCAAAATATAGCGATTAAGCCAAACATGCCTTAATCAGTAGTTGCTCCGTTTCGTTCTACAAGTTTAAAAAATATGTGCGATTTTTTTCTATATTTTAAGTACGTATGAACACTGTTTGCATATTCGTATTTTCCAACTCAAAAAAATGTAAAACTAAAAATTTTTAAAACAATCGGTCCATACATTCTTAAAACATAGTAAAAAATCTAAAATATATTTTCACCTTTAACACCCTGTAGAACGAAAAGGAGCAACAATTGATTAAGGCATGTTTGGCTCAATCGCTATATTTTGACGCTAACAATCTGCCATTTAGCTGTGCACCATTACAGACTGACCCTGTATATAAATAGTTTATTTAACTTTTTTTATTTTTGTAAATGTACTAAAATTATTCCTGCAAATGTGTATATAAGGTGATATTTCAATCATCTTTTTAAATATAAAATTTTTACCTTTTGACAATATAAATACCTACCATGGTTACTTCTGATTCCGACATACTAATTTAGAATATTTTATTATTTCTATAAACAGTATATACAATTTCTAACGTTAAATTAGGTCAACATTCCATTAGTTACCTAAGCCATGTTTTATTTGAAACAAATTATATTACAGAAATGTTATTAGTCATAGTCAGTAATGAATTAAATCCTGAATAATCAATTTTAAATTTGGCATATATCCACAACATTTATTTTTTTGAAGATACGTTATTATTCCAGAGTACACTTTTATGGCTCGATATATTTTTCCAATAATTTAGTACCACACCATGTGGCTAGAATGGTACGTAGTATTCAAGGACAAAAATTGTGTTTACGTTTTAACGAGCTTTAGTCCTGTAAATTACATAAGGCTGGCAGCTCTCACGCTTCACACAAATGTACAAATTGCTGACTCCAGCCGGAAGTCAGGGTAACGGATGACGGTAAAATTTAATCCCGTCGTGCGGATCAATTGTCAAGACCCAAACTGAGTTAAATCTGACGAAGAACTTATTATCGAAATGAATTATAAGCACCGTACCACGATAATAGTGTCCAGTAAGTAAGTCAGGATAACTAGTACTACAGATGCATAAATTTTAGTCGTGAAAATTTGTGAACTTTTGTAATTAAAAATTGTAAAAGTTTGCCAATACCAATAAATGTCCAGCAGCTAAATGAAAATAAATATAAATTACACCGTATGGAAGAAAATTATGTTTATTTCCGGAAGCGGTAAAATTTCCTAATTTATTCGGAAAAGTAACATTTTTATTTTAAAAAGGACACATTTTTATATACCCTCGCCTCTTTTACCTTCAGTTGTTTAATCGGATTTTTTTTTTTCATAGAACTTCTATAATTTTCGGCCAGATTCTTGTGAAACATAACTTTCTAAATTCAACATACAATTTCCAGATATAAAAAGTAATAAGTGACGACATGTAAAAATATATTAATAGCTCCAGTTGTCTCTAAAATGGGTTAGTTTATGTCAATTATTAAATTAGTTGTTACCTTTAAATAGTTATTTAATATTTAAAGGTTTTTATTTATTTCTTACAGTTGGTAAAATATAGAAGAATGCAATTTGGTATGATACTTTATGTTATCAAACACCGATATTTTTTAACATCTGCAACCCTCGGAAGGAGTTGGAAATTGCAAGTCTTAAAGGTTTTTTCAAGGTATCATTTTATTGAATTAAAAACTTGTAATTCAATCAATGCCATTTAAAAACTTGGTTCTTTGGAAACTTTTCTGCGCCTGACTACTAATACATTGCCGTGAGCAAGACCATGTGCATATCGCACATTTCACATTTTGTATAGTTTACCATTTTAAAGACTATAAGTTATACACGGAAACACCTGCTGTATTAAATGACTTGAAACTAGCACAATGACAACTGTACAGTGATTAGTTTTGTAAATCCTTGATGAACAATTATTATTTAGAAACAGAAAGAAATGTGGTAAAAAAAAGATAGTGAAGAATATCAGTCCAAAATAAATATTAATGGCTATTGTTATTATATATTTTTTTTGTAATGCAGGTGTACTAAATTATTTTACTAAAAAATGGAACATTTTAGTGAAGATATGGAGATAAAAGAATATCAGTG